CTACTACACTTGTGTAATTGTCCTTTTATAGCCTCAATTAACCTGCCATCAACATATCTTTAAAAGTCTTTTTGAGAAAACTTCTGAAGCGGAAAGTGCCTTCAACCAGTACTGCAGACTTCATACCTGTAATTCAAAGTTCTATATACTTTGTTTCAATTTGCATTTTAACACTGGAGAATGTAATGAGGTTTTTCATTGCTTGCCTTTCAAACACAGAACTGTAGGAAACCAAAGATGAAAGAACTGCAGTAAACAGCCTAGCCCAATAAGGCATATCGATTAGCAAAATGATACTTCTTGGTGATCCAAAGGTTTGCTAATGAGATACCCAGTGTGACTGATCTTTAACTGCTTTGAAGCTGGAGTCTCACGTCTGATACAGTTTTTGAACATTAATACATATACTTAATTTAAACACTTTCATAGGAATCATATTCATACCAATGCTGGAGTGACATATGGGTAGCATAAATAGAATCAAAGCCCCAATACAGAATCTGCAAGAAATATATAAAGACATACCATAGCTTCCACTTGTGTTGGCACAAATAACAGCACCAAAAAAGTATGGGACATATTTCTGAATCCTAGAAATAACTTTTTTGCACGCCATTGTTGGATCCATTCCTGTCCGCATATATTCTACAGCTTGATAGCTGATTTAAGAGGGAAAAGTAGACAGGTTAGTAACTGGATCTCATTACATCTAATCAATCACCTGGAAGTTTTAAAAAAGGACTATAAAACCTTCTTTACAATCACTAAATGTTTAAAAGGGGAGGAACTCCTATGAATGTGCAGCTTGCCAAATGTGGTAGTCGTTCTAATCTCCCTTTCTGAGGTAAGTGGCTTAATAACTGAACATGAGGTCATTTTGGGGATGGCAGCTGGTTCCCCTTTTTGGCATAAGTAAAAACATTTCCATCTGTAGATAAAACAGGCCTTTTAGAAACTGTTTTGGTAGAGGTTTCTTTTAAATCTCTTGGGTTGGATTTTACCATCATCCACTCAGCTTGCACTTAATGTAATCTGTTTTACTCATTATCTTTAACAGCAGGTAGACAGATTTACATATTCCTCAACTCTGAAAGCTGTTGAGAGAATTTAAGGGTTAAAGAGTATAATGTCAATCTTTTTTTCTCTCTCTCTCTCCATATACAAACTCAGCGTAGTTGCTAGAACTCGAGTGGAGAGATAATTTTTAAAAGTCTATTTGGGTTTGTGACACACAAAACTAGGAGTAAATTTATCACTTTTAAAACGGTCACATTACCTTTTGTTTTCATTTCTACAAGAATTACCAGAACTGATTTCTTATTATTTGAATTGCTACAATTTAAAGATTTTTAATCAAAATGTTCTGAATGCGCAAGCCAAGATTACTTAATAAATCATCATCAAGATTTCCCAGACATAAAATATTCAGAAATGGTTTTCTACTCTATTCCTCTGATGCCGTTCTATGACTATGTAGCTTGCCCAAGGATACACAAGCTGGCTGTTCTCCAGGCGTCACAGGAGATGACCCTTGGGGTTTGAAGGCAGACAGTCAAATTGTTAAAAGTATTCAGCCATCCTCTATTTTATCTCATGGAACCTCACAAGTAATTCCAGTATTGAAAATCACACCACATACAGTGTATCTATTCAAATTAGTATTGTAAAAGAAAATACCTGGGCAAGAAACGCATCATAACATCTCCATCCCCAGTAGCAGCTGCGGCACCAGCTGTACTATCAGCATAGGCTCCGGCTCCAGCTATTGGTGAGTCTCCTACACGTCTAATTAGGCAAGTAAAAATGCAGATTTGACTTGAGAACTTTTTGACTTGAGAACCGCCTTCCAATACGGATTAAGTTATCAAGTCAAGACCCCACTGTAATTCCAGCACTGAAAATCACACCACATACAGTGTATCTATTCAAAGTTAGTAAAAGAAAAATACCTGGGCAAGAAACGCATCATAACATCTCCATCCCCAGTAGCAGCTGCAGCACCAGCTGTACTATCAGCATAGGCTCCGGCTCCAGCTATTGGCGAGTCTCCTACACGTCTAATTAGGCAAGCAATATAGAACAAATTTAAAAAGTTGGTTAACTTGTAATTTAAAGATGAAGAAAGGAGAGTTAAAAAAGAACAATTTTTATGTAATGTGGGGCAAATTTTTGGAATATGTGCTAATAAGGGGGAAAGGGAAAGCTCCAAATCAAAAATCTATGCAGTTCTGGAGAAGAGGACAATAGAAGAAGAAGAAGAAAAAGAAGAATATGGCAAGAGGTCCCGTATATGGTGGTGGGGAACACTGTTATTGTGTTTGAGTTTATATGTTTTATGTATATGATTTTGCTTTTGTTATAGTTATAGAAATAAAAAAAATATTTTTTAAAAAAGTTGGTTAGTGAGGTCAGGTCCCAGTCTTTCTAATGTATCCAGAAACTAAAGACTAATGAAGGAACAGCTGAGTTTACTATCTCAGGAAAAAAGCCACATGCATTTAGGGAGTTACAAGATTGAATGCCCACCTATACTACAAGGCAAAACAACTATAAACTCCTTTCTATATGGAGAAACCTCTTTCATGCAAATTAATCTAATCCCAGATAGTGGTAATATGAGCCAACCACAAATGTTCTATCACAGGGAGAGGTAGTCTAGGAGTCGTTTTAAACTAGTCACACCGAAGATGTAGCTTCCTTTTTGTTTTCACAACTGGAGTTCTGACTGTTCCTCTATGAGGAAAGTTCGTTAGTCCTCAGCTGCAATTTTATTAACAATTCTCATGGACTAAAGGCAAAAGGTAAAGCTTAAATTGTTGTTGAGGATGGAAGGAATAATGTTGCAGACTAAAGTGGTGATATACAGTACAAAAATTTAAAAACTATGCAAAACTCACACCTCCACCTAATTTTCCACGATTTCTTTGAAAGTACATAAAAAGTAGCTCTTATATACAGTGCTGGCATCACAGGCAAAAATTAAAATGATTTGTTGTTGTTGTTTTGACTTACACATTGCCCTATAGTGCTAGGACACTTTGTGGCTTACATATAATTAGGCAAGGAACACTTTTCCTCCCCAGCAAGCTGGGTTTATCAACCTCAGAAGCTGAAAGCTGAGTCACCCTTGGGCTGGCTACCTGAACCTTTCACAATTGAAACTCAGGTCACAAACAGAGGTTTGACTGCAGGAGTGCAGTTTAACTACTGTGCTGTGGGGCTCTCTGTTTTGTCTATAAGATCAAGCCAAGATTTGCTCCGCCACAATACAAACCCTTGGATTTTGTGGTTTGCACCATTTGTAGAAGTCCCTGCGGCAATGCTTCCAGCCTGACCAATCACAATCATGCCTACAAATTAAAAAGAGTGAAACTTAAAAGCATTATAAGATATTTCTGTTAACAGAGATAACATGAAGATTACTATCGTTCAAAACACACGCATCTGTCTCCCAGAAGAATGCTATGCAGCAACTGCATTTGTCACATCATATTGATATGCTGATGGAAAGCTCTTCACTTGGGTTTATGGCTCCCCAAATGCCATTCTAACAAAAGCTGTCACAAACTGTCGCCACACTGGCAGGGTGGCGGCGGTTAAAATGTGGCTGGAGAGGGAAAGAGATCAACATGCTGGAGACAGCTTCAGTTGAGAACTGCCTTTCTGCCCCAGGCCTCTGAGAAAGGCAGATAATCTCTCAATTTTTGGAACGGTTCCATTATGGGAACAGTCCATCACAAGAAAGAAAGGTCACAACTCATCCAATGAGTGGAGATAGATAACCAAAAAGACCACTAGTGCTTTACCACTTAGACTATAAATATGACACTGAATTCAGATTATTGGCAAAGTTCTATTTGCATGACTCTCCTGCTGGAAGAAGTCCCCCCCCTTATTCTTTCTTTAGCACCCCCTGGCCATTTCCCACCCAAGCTGGACCAAAGGGTAGGACGTCCTTCAGATGTGGTGCAAGGGGGAAAGGAAACTAGTGAAGGCTACTCTTTCTTTGAGCTACAGCCACTCCTGAAGTGGCAACTATCAGAAGTCTTTTTGTGGAGGGGCAATTGGACCACAAACACTACAAAAATAACATTAAAAGTTTATTTTAAAGTCATGCAAAAATACAGATTTTAACACTCTCATTGTACCAAGGCACATCTGGATTATTCGTGCAAATGGCTACCAGGTGGCGGGGAGTTCTGTGAACATTGCACCAAACTGACAACAGTGCTAATAAGCAAGTGTAGAATGTCTGTATTTATGTAGCTGCCAAGTGGACAGTTCACATATATCAATCAAAATGTCTCACTGTTATACTCTGGATTTACTAATTAACCTGCGAAACAATATAGTTTGTGAAAACTGCTGCAGCAGATTAAATCACTAGCTCAGGCAAACTGCCAGAAAGCAAATGTTCATGAAGACACACCTTAAGTTTCACCATTTGACTTTTAAAAAATGTTAATTGTTCAATGATGACGAGTTTAATCACCACACTCAAAGTTTCTCCTTAAGTGTCTGGCAATGAGACTCATGCTCCCAAGTCACTTAGGAGCTTCTGTAAATTTCATATTTAATTGCTATGCAGATGGTAGAAACTGACTTCAAA